CCTATCAATTTCCTTGCCCTGCCTGTGAAGCTGTGTATTTATGAAACATCACTAGAGTGGAATCTTATTGCCAGGTCTGTGAGTAGAGTTACAGCTACAGACAAGTGCAGGTGGTCAGCACTAAAAAAGTGTCATTGTCAAGCATTTACGTCATTTAAAAGTGGAACAAGAAAGCCATTACGGCAACAAATTGCTCAACCCTTCCGGCTATGAAGTGGGGAGAGCACCACCAAGGAGGGTTTGCAGGAAATTAACTGTGTGCTGACAGGCAATTTGTTATAAACAGTGTGGAAAGGGGTGACTTTTTCCTTTTTTTTACCCTTTTTTTTTTTTTATAGGAATCGTTCAAACAACTTTTTTAGTATAAACTGATTTGCAATAACAGTACAGGAATTTCTGCAAAGGTGTATATGCATTTCCGTGTTATTTTCTGTTATTTTCCATTGTCTTCTTCAGGTGGTATTAAACTGTATATATGAAATAATAGTTGTACCTGTAACAAACCCATATTCTTCATAATCGTTTCAGTGGTGACTATAGAGGACTTTTAGCTGAGCTGTCCTACAGAAATGGGTCAGAGTTGGCTTGTGCTCAAAAATAATAGGAAGCAGAATTTTCCGTTTTTGCTTGCATTGCCCTGTGTGATACAGTACACATTTTAGGACACTGAAATCTAAAAATAGACCTGAGCTTTTTCCGAGAGAGTTAGAAAGTAGTACTGCCATTAAAATGCCTTTCTAGAGTATAAAGTAAAGGTAAACATTCACGTAGAGCTCTTTATATTCTCTAGTAGAGTCTAAGGGATTTGGTTCTCAGAATGACAAAAAAACCGAACAAACAAAACCACCAAAACCAAACCAAAACCCAGAGAAATTAACAGTATAATTCTTGCTTCAAATTTTATTTTTTGAGAATATAATAAGCCAGATTTTTTTCTAGATTTGGTGCCTATTTAAGAGCTAATAAAAACAGGTTTTAAAAGATACCATGCTGCAATAAAGAATAAACAATTTCTATGTAGATTTTCAGTTGCTAAATAATTTTATGTCAAAAGCTAGAAAATGAAGTGCTTCTAAATATAGTGCATTGGAATTTTCTTATCAGTTAATTTTTTAGAAGCTCTACACTTAAGAGCACCATAGTAACAACTCTGCAAGCTGATTCTTTGTTACAGTTATCCACCGAGAGCTTCACTGAAGACATTTCCTCTGGGATCAGAAAGACTAGAAGTCAATTCTGATAATATTAGAACAAATTTAAAGAGCAAAAAGCCCTAGAAAGTATATGATGAATAAATAAGGAGATCTTTATTCCTTGTGTAATCTTTTACACTTCTTTTCTCTTTTGTTGTGCTGTAAACAAATATTTTTGTGTTGCAAATGTTAACACCTTGAAAGGTTTTGTAAAACTGGGGCTGAAATAATTTGCTCTGAGTTATGCAGGTATTTAAGCTACTATTTGCAAAGTAGACTGTGAGAAGGTCAAGGTAATTGATGATATTGAAATATTGATGACATCTCTGTCAATCATTTATGGTTTAAGCATATCTGTCTAGAGCACATTGAATGTGTGTTGAGGGCTGAATCTGAATGTCATTTATTGCCCCCCCAAGATAAGCCCAAAAGTTATGATGATGAAGGCAGCATATTAAGAACAAATCCAGCTGGAGCTCCAAGCCCTGTGATCTACTGAGGAAGGACTCCATTTTACATTATTGATTCCGCCTCACTCTGTAGACTCCTGTTCCAACATCACTGAAGTCCACCCAAGCATTTTGATTAAACTGACTTTTATCTTTAAACAAGGCTTACATTGTCCTAATTGTATGCTATCAACAATTAAGAAACCTATCATGTGTCACAGACCACCTTGGTGCTCCTGGAGAGGGGCCAGCAGAGGTGCCACACTCCACACCACTTTGTTGTCAGCTGTAGCTGTCCTTCTACAGTACAAGCAGCATCTGTGGTAGATGAAATAATCTGAACTCCCATATGCACTTTTCCTTTAGGAAACAGCTCACACTGAATAGCATTTCTGGTACTGGGCACTGCTACACCTGAGTGCAGTTGTGCTGGAAGAAAAAAATATTTGCATGTTTTATAAAAATGAAAGATGGAGAGTCAATGTTTTATAAAATTAAAATGTTGACTCTCCATCTTTTGTGACTTTAAGATATGTTCTTCCATCCTGCTATGTACACTTAGTCCAGAAGGATGACCAGAAAAGGCTTCAAAGTTGTCTAGGGGATGCTCAAGCAATACATCTCAGCCTCCTTGCACATCCCTGATCCAGGACACAACATCAGTGATAGTGTCAGCACTTCTGATGCCAGATCTGCAGAAACAGGGAAAGGATGGTTGCCACTTATCTCACTCTCTCCAAATTTTTCTATGGTACACTTTTTACACTATTTTGCCTGACGGGAGAACAAGGTGTGGTCTTGATGAATGCTGTTTGATAATGAGGTTGAAGATGTGGAAACTGAGCCATGAGAAGCCCTGCTGGAATGGGGCACTGCTGACTTGGGATGCATGGAGGGTGTGCCTCCCCAGCTGTGTGGGGCAGCTTGCTGAAATCCCAGTGCAGTTGTTTCTGAAAGGGCAATTGGCTTCGGAGGGAGAACAACTGAGCCCTTTTTGTCCCTGCTTGTGAAATCCATGTGCCCTCTCTGGCTCTGGGCCATGGCTTGGTGGGATAGCTGGGGAACTGTGAGGGCTGTCTCTCAGGCATCACAGAGCACAAACCTGCTCCCCTTTGCCCAAAGATTGTTTTCAGGTTAACTTTGCAAGCCTAAGTGTCACCTGCCCAAACACTCTACAGTCTGTCAAAGCAGGTAGCATCTTTTCTGAAGCTTACCTAATTCTGGCATAAAGAAATAAGATTGTATTTAGGGTGTGCAAGGAGTACAGAAGAGCTAGAAAGGATAAGCATAAAGATGCTTTTGGAAGGCAAAAAGGAAGAAAAAGAGAACATAGTTAGAAAAGGCATGTTGCCCTGTCCTTCTCAAGGGGTGGACAGTTATTCTGAAAAATGAGAAAATCTTTAAGATTACTAAAAGGATTTTAAAATGGGTGTATGTAAAAGTTAGAAGCTAGTAAAAGACCTTAAAGGGTAGTTATAGATACCACATACAATTTTATTTCAATGCTATTTTTGATAGACTTAAATATTTGATACTGGTTGAAGCAGTGACAACCTGAATTTTAAACCTTGTTGTAGCTTAGTCTCCTTAAAATCTCCTAAAAAGAAAGAGCTATTAATATCTACCATTTCTGTACTGCACTTGAAGATTTAAACTATATCTGGTGAGATATTGTCATAATTAAGCAAAATTCACAATGTTTAACAAAAGTTATGCCAGCAGTTCAAGATTAGAATGACCTCTAAATGATACAACTTTAATACTTTCCAATCTTTAAATATGACATTTCAGGATCTCCTTTTGCTGTCCCTCTCATCTGGACATCTCAAAATACTCAAGTTGTTTTACTAAGGAGTGAGTGAGGATTCATAACTTTAAAGTAATACAGTGAAGTAAATACTGTCAAGCAAATTTATGAAAATGAGAAAAAAGGAATAATAGCAAGATGTGGAATAGCACAAAGTCATGGTTTTTTGCTGTTAATTCCATTTTTAGACCTTGACACAAATAAAGGTGTTGTAATACCTCATGTGAGCTCCGAGAGAGGGTTAAGTAATGTTATTTTGAAACACTTCTACAGCACATACAACTAAGTACCCTGTACAATTTTCCAGAATTGTACACAGGTAATTAGTAATTTCTGGGCAGCAAAACTTACCAGGGGCAGGACTATGTCAGCACTTTTACCACAGAATCATCATTGTTCAGCAGACAGTGAAAATGTTTGAGTCATTTGAGTCCAAGGGAGTGGTGACCATACAAGATGGAAAAAACCGAAAATATCCAATCATTTTCTTGGTTAGAAGCATTAGCGCCAAAGAAATTTGCCACTTTGGCAACTCATCCCAAAATTTTAAAAGCCTTGAAAAGAAAACACAGCCTTGGCTGTATTGATACACACAGACTATAGAATAGAAAACTGAGTGCAGCTCTATCATGATGTGAAAACAAGTCAATAGTAGTTCATGGTCCATCACAAAAAGCTTTTGGAGCAGATGACCCCGTGCAAAAGTACAAGCAGGATAGGACTGAGTGAGGGCAGCATGTTTCACCTGGGGCTGAAGCAGCTCTAACTATGCACTGGCTCTTCATATTTGGGTTTGGGGGAATTCTTCTGAAGCTGGCCGCTGCTAGCCATTGTGGCCCAAAGGCATGACATTGTTTCACGAGTCATTGCACCATTGTGGATTGGTTATGTTCTCCTCTGCAAGCAGAATTTTGGGTGGGTTGTCTACTCTGAAGTCAGTTGTGAGCCAGATCTCACCTCCAGAAGCAGTGTAAAGTGCTTGTCATTTGCTACTTCTTGCTGATCTTTGTGGGCTTGGCACACAGAAAGATACACCAACACTTGTGGTTGTATAAGGTCACCATGCCCTGTTAGAAGAAGTAGGAGATTGCAGGGGTATGAGGTGAGGCAGTAGTAGGGCTGAGCAGTACATTCCTCTGCACAGAACAAGGTTGGTCTAAATGTCTAGGAGATAAAATCTACCAAATTCCTTCTAAATAAAGGTGTTGAGCTATGACAGTACTTAACATCACACACACAAAAAAAATCCCCATAAACACATATGTCAAGAAGATAAAAATTATGCCTGCCAGGGGCTGCGGATGAAGCTTCAGATCCTGTACTTCTATTTTTTTTTTGGGTTCCACCATGAACTGAGTTATACCATGTCACAATGATTAGCTTACTGTCCTCATTTAGCTCTCCAATGAGGTGTGAATAGTTTAACACTGATGCACAGTCCATTTTCACTGGTGTTTCATCTGCATTTCATCATGCTGGGAGAAATGAGTCTTTGGGCATTTCTGAGGACTGCTGTGAAGAGGATAGACATGTTTCCTCATCGTTTTGTCATGATGTGTGATGGGGTCCTCTGTCAGGCAGTGTCAAACCAATTTGGAGGGCTCTTGGAGTAAGTATGAAAGAAACATGCTGTGTTCTTGTTGTTCAGAAATTTCTTCCTGATTTTGGCACAGCCAGGGATATGTGAGCCTGAGTGTAGTTTATGTGATGGGTGCACAGAAACACTCAGGTAAGTCAGGAAAGAAAAACCCTTTTATGATTTTCCTTTTCACACATACTGAAAGAAAAGGAGGCAGATTCTCTCTCAAACTATTTTTACATTGTGCTGATATCAATACAGTGAACCCCAGAGAGGAATATCAGAGGTAACTGTCATTAGCAGATATCATCTTGACAAGACAAACACAACCTACAAACCTTCTTATGGTTAAAAAACTACTGTCCCTGGATGCCTGACTTTAACTGTCTTGGGCAAGAATTTTACAAATATACACTCTGATCAGGGTTGGAGTATACCACCCTGTCTTGTTTGTACCACATGAGCTGCCCTTTTGCCTTTAGTTCTTTGACAGAGTGACTGGTGCTATTAAGTGACAGTAGGTCTCTGCAAAACAAGCACCTTAAACTTAGTTTTATCTGAAAATTGACTATAGCTTAATTTAGAGGAAAAATAAAAAGGTCAGCTTGCATTCTTTAAACAAGCCGATGTGCTGCTGCAGTGCTGCCTCTGTTCTCCTTTCAGAATGTCTCCTGTTCTTTGCTTGTCCTTTAGGGGAGTTTCCCATTCTTGAAACTCTATCCTTTCTGAGACTAATGCAGTTCAAGGAAGTTTTAACGCAAAGCTTGCCTTCATCTCAGACCATATACGTAGAACATAACTGTCATAGGTGATTCTATCCTGCTTCTTGAAAGTTGTGCTGGAATGAGACACTCTCTCACTGAAAAGGATATTAAAGAAAGGTATTGCAAAACTTCAGACTATTATAAGCCCTGAGTATATCACAAGTTGCCATAGTAAATCTACTGCAACAGAACAGTGAGTGTCGCCACGTACCTCTTCACTGATTACCATTGTTTTTTACATGAGAAAATATGCATGTCGTATGGGTTGCAAATGTACATTACTCAAAATTCTTGCAGTCCTTGCTTAATCCAGTTAGAGGGACTTGGGTACTGCATGCGTCTGCTGGCCCCCAGCAGACCTCCTGGCAGGTGATGTGGCTCTGTTTTCCCTTAAGAATTCCACAGAAACATGTGCTGTGTAACGTAATACTGCACTGTTCCCTCTCCAAGTCTACAAATTGCTGTTGTGAGGAAAAAAAGTTGCTATTATCATAGTTTAATGCTACTTAATATATTAGTTACTGGTAAAAGCATTTATTAACTGAGTTAAAAGGGAAGACACACTATTCCAATGGAAATCAGGACTGGTCTGATAAATGAAGGCACTCGCCCATTCCCACCTTGCATGTATAACCTCATATACATCTCTCTTAAAATTACAGAGATTTCAGGAGTTCTGGTGTGTATTCAAAGCCATTGAAACAAAGAAGGCTAGCCTTAGGGTGAGACTTGAATCTAGGAGGAATGGAAATCTTTAACCATTGCTTAGGTCATGGAAAAAGATCAAGCTTGCAGCTCTCAGATATCTGTCCTGTGTGCACAACAACTGCATACCTCCTAAGCCTCTGTCCCCTCCTCCTTCCCCAAGCTACAGCAGTGCAGGCAGTTCCCAGACCTTGATTCCTGATATGCCAACACATGTTGGCAGAGCTTCACTTTGCACAAATTTAAATTTCCCTTGGGAACAGGTTTCACTGGTCTGAGAAAGTAACAGACTGTTCTCTACTTCCATCTTCTAGATCTGAGTATGTACCCCTCCTTTATCCTGTACATTAGGTCTGACATTATATATATATGTGTATGAGTGTCTGTGTGTGTGTATGTATATATATATATGAGATGCAGATTAATTTCAGAGCCACCCTTTGTCCAAGTGCCCATACATTTATAATGTCATGTTTGAATTCAAGCTTTGGAACAGGAATGATAAAAATACTAAAAGTAGCAAGTGTTTTCATCTGGATATTTGTGTCTGATACTTGGGGAAATCCAGTGGTGTGTTAGACTTTTGCTTTTCCAGGTTTGGAAATCTGTGCTTCGTGTGTACATTAACAGGAAGTACATATGTACAATAGCTGCAGAAACAACGTGAGTTGTGGTACCTTGTACTGTACCTGGTCAGAACTTACTTCCAGTTGATCCTGTCCTTATCCTACGACTAGCCCTTACGCTATACAAGGAAGAGTATGCAAAGGTTAAGTGCCAACTTTTAGTCGGGAATGCCCTCCTCCCCCCAGCTGTCAGTGTTCTGTCAATCTTCTTAGGCCTTTCATATCTTTAAAGTATATTAGGGAAGTATTTCATTAAAATGCTCCTATTTCTTAGTGGCAATGTGCTTGCAAAAGGAATTTAAGAATAGTTGGATTTAGTTTTACCGCTTCTGGAGACTCTACCCAAAGGCTGTGCATCATTAACCTGTCTTTCCACATACTTTGGCATCGCTTTTTTCAAGATCAAATCAGTAACACAGTAACGAGGTAGTTTAATAGGTAGCTGGAAAAGGAGAGCTGGGTTAGAGCACAGTTCTATTTAGAAAATACCCCTGTGCACTGTGGCAATGTTTTATAGCACGGTGTGAAGCTAAAGTTCACAACCATGTAGTCATGGTTTTAGTCATAGGAGAAGAGGGTAGGTTACAAAAGGGAGGGCTACAATGAGGAAGAAGTGCAGTGAGGAAGAAATGCACTTACTCCTGGAAAATTTACAGCTGCCTCAAATGAAGGGTTCAGTAATGTCAACGGAGTTAGTTTTTTGAAAAATGTAAATTAAGTGACTTCACAAATATGAGTAGTTAAAATAAGGCATAAACAAAAGTCTTATTCCACTTTCAAAGGTCTTGTGGCCAGGAACAAATCAGTCAATACTTAAAAAGTGAATGAGTAGGGCAGTAAGGTAAGAGACTGTTTTGAAACCAGGCCTTGATGAGCAGCTCCCATGCTGGCATTTTGCTTAGGCTGTATGAGATTTAGTTGGTGCACTGCCTCTTCCTTACTCTTGTGCTTCGAGGGCGTGAAGGAAGGTATAGGCAAGGGAAAACATTGTCAGATAAAATCACACAGGATTTGAGCTGAGAGAGGAGCCGTACCATTTGTGCCACTTGGCCTCAATTCTGCACAGCCATCAGCTGAACTCACCAAGCCCTGTGTGCACTCAGAGCTCAGATAAAGTACAGTGAGTGTTCGTACTGGAGCACTGCACAGACGGTGGTGGACAGCTTTTCTTTTTTTTTCTGTTTTTGTTTTGTTGTTTTTTGGTTTTGGGAGATTTTGTTGGTTTGGGTTTGTTTATTTAGTTTTTTTTGGTTTTGTTTTTTAATTTTAACCATTAATATCTCCAACATTTTTTTAGAACTAGCATGTCAGCAAACAGGTGCTTGTTTAGATCCTGATGAGCAACTAGCAACCAAATATGTCCCCAAAAGTGTATCCATTCCTATTGCTTTACCTTTTTCATAAGGGTATGTAAAATGTCGACATTTGCAAAGTTAACTTAAGATTGTTATTAAAAAGGAAGAGCTATATCATCAACCTCGTGGTCCTTCTTGGAATCTGACTACAATTTCCTGATTCAAATTCATTATTGGGAATAGTTTCATTGATTGCAATGGGTCTCAGTCTGTCACAGGTGCTCAGACTTCACAAGAACATTTGAATCTGGCCCATGATGACTCTACCTCTTCTATAGATCAGCCTGGTAGAGAGACTTTGTATACTTTTAACTTTGCCAAGAACTTCAAGCATCCTTGGATATACTGTGAAAAAACTGTTCAGGCATTTTTTTGTTATAGCATCCTTTTTCCCCCAAGAGAAATTGGAGTGTTGCAATACAACTTCTCCCCCCCTCCCATAAATAGATATAGTTTATGTCTTCTGGCAAGAATAAGAAAGTAAAAGTAAAAAGACTCCTCACAATTCTTGGCGAGATGAATCTTCCAGGGTTTGATCCCTTGGCAGAGCTCTGTGGTTTGGCTTTCTCACTTCTCTTAGAGTTGTATGTGTATGTCTTATTTTCTTTGATTTCATAGCACTATTTATGTTTAGCTGCTAGCTTTTGTCACAGTTGTTAGTTCCTTTTCCTTTTCAAGATAATTCACCTACTTTACTATTAGGTGCCCTCTTTTCTGCACATCCTTAGGACAAGACCCTGTGCAACGCACCTCTGCCACTTGATCTGCCTTTTCTCTATCTCTCTTTCCTAATTTCCATTTTAACTTTGTTATTCCTTGCTGCTAATGCTGTTTTTTGGAAAGATGTACTCCTTCAAGTGAAGTTGTCTCTTTTTCATTTTTTCAGGTTTGTTCGTTTGTTTAGTTGGTTGGTTGGGTAGTTGAGTGGGTTTTTTCCCTGTTGTTGCTTTTTTTCCCTCTTAGTTCGTTTTTTTTTTTTTTAATGTTTTATTAATATTGCAATTATTGCCATTTACTTTTGAGTTTCCATAACAAATATGAACATTTGATTTCACTAGACATTTTGGAGTCCATGTCAAAATCAAAAATGCCTTCTCATCTTCGTACTGATTTAGAGGACGCTTAATGGTTTTTTAATGAAAGCGGAAATGGGAACAATATCTCTCATTGTACTTTCTTCAGCAAAATGAAACAAATATTTTCAGTTAGAGCTTTTTATCACAAGGAAAGAAATTTTGGACCAAAACAGAGAATTTGCTGTGTTTTGCTAGCAGCTAAGTTAGGACACAACTTCTTAGTGTTATGTTGAAGACTTCTGTGGAAATACCTACATATTTGTATAGTGAGTCCTTCTGAGCTCACTACTGTTTCCTCTGAATTTGTCTATTGATCTCTTGTTGATTGAATGGAAGCAGTGTTGGGTCCACTAAGTAGGATCCGCAAACTAGGACCTGTAAGATTTAAAAAAAACCTGCAAGAGTTCATACTGCAAGAACCTGTGCTGCTGGCCTGTGAACTGGGGCTGCTTTGTAAATCTTGGAGCTGCTTGATTCCCAGCCCAACTGATTGTGGAGTGGGGATGGTACAGATTGTCAAGGACATTAATCTCATCAGCCTTCCCAATTTAAGTTGTTCCTGCTCATTGTAACTTAGCTCGTAGGGGAAAACAAAATAAAATCTCAGTAACAGCAGTGTCTATCCATCTAAGTGCAAGTAATTTAGTGGTGGGCTGATTTTGCAGATTAGAACCTGGATTTTTAGGACTAATTAATTTTACGTTCTTCAAAGGGCATTACAAATGTTATTCAGTTTAGCAGATATCATTCTAGAATATATTTTGTCAAATATACTGGATTTAATAGAGTCCAGTGGAAGTGGTTAAACATATATTTATTTTAATTACTGCAAATTAAAAGGAGCATCTTAACTTAAACTCTAATTTGGTCTTCTGCCAATTCAAGCAAAGATGAATGAGGCATATTAAAAATGAACATGGTTCTTATTTTTATTGGTTATATGACCCTCTTTCTCACTACATACATCCGTTAGCAAAGTCTGCTTTCAGTAGTGGAAATTTCATTATCACTTCTAATTCAGGTTTTGTAGCACATTAAAGTTTCCAACAGTTAATGACTCTGGTTTCTTTCTGTGCAGGTTTACTTTTCATGAAAGAACATAGAAGAGGAAAGAAATGACAGTAAGACTGAATTATGAACTCCCAGAAGTGGAGGACAAGAACTGATTGTATTCTGGAAGCTGAATTTACCGCTCTTGACTAATGCTGGGCAATGGTGATCACATGCATGGTATTGCTGAAGCAGATGTAGCTTGTGTGTTACTCATTCCAGTTTTTCATTCAGTATTTAAAGAGTAACAAAAACAGCACTGTAAAAGTCTGTCAGCTGCTTGAAAACTGGCATCAGGAGTTTGTCACCTTAACCAAAGCTCCTTTCCACCCTTGGATAGAGACTGTCATCCTCCAAACTTCTTCACCAGTATTAAACTTTCTTCTTGGCTCTGACCTGTGCACTCGTGGCCCTGAGATGGGGTCTCATCAGTACTGTCACCATGCCCCTGTGATGTCCATGCCATTGTCACCCTTACATCTGATGGTTAGTGAAGCCAAAACACCTCAGTTACTTTTAGGGTACTCACCTGAGACACTTAGCATGTCTCCAAGACTGATCCCACTGTGGGACAACTGCAATCGTATCTCATAGAGGTGTCACAGTTCTAAATTAGATCTTCTGCAAAGCGCTTGGAAGATCCCTGACAAATGTGGTTTCACTATGCAAAATACTGCAGCAAAATAAACTAATCTAGATAGCAGAGGTCAGTTCTGCCTGTCTACATTAACCTAATAGCCTGTACTTTTCCTCTTTCCTTCACCATTTGCCAAAACAGATATGGTTTGTTTTTCCTTTGATCCCATGGAGTTGACAGTGACAGATTACTCTCAGTTTGTCATTTTGAACCTTCCCACTTTCCTGGTGATGTGACCCATGACATAAGGGAGATCTGTAATCGCAGACAGATGCGTCTCTGAGCAATGTCTAGATACTGTGGCAGCTTACTACTCTTATTTTCTCAGCAGAGTAAGAGTTTCAGGCTAATTTGAATATGTTTTTGAAATAAGACAGTCTCCAATGGTGGGACCCCTGTGTAAAATGGACTCTATTTCTGTGATATTTTCTCATGGACATAGCAATAGTTCTGTGTTCAATCTTCAAAAAAGCTGGAAAACTGCTGAAAATGTGTTTTGTCAGGACTTGCTCAGGATCCAGCAATGTGCTGTGTGTACACCAGAGGCACCAAGCACATAACCAAGACTGAGGGTAACAACAGGCTCAACAACTGTCAAAATCAGTCAACCCTGTTATTCTCCATATCCCAAAGCTCTTAGCATGCTTTGCAGTAGAATAAAACCAAATTATATCTGATAGAGATATAGGAGATGCAACATCAAAATGAATTGAACAAATGGGTCTCCTGTCCCACTTCCTTCTCAAAGCAGTGCCAGCTTGAGGACCAAAGGGGCATGTTTAGATATTTTTAAAACCCCATCTTTAAAACCTTTGAGGCTGGATACCAGTTAGGCTTCCTGGGCTACCCACTCCAGTGCCCGATGTCCTCATGTGTCCTCATGTAGCAAGTCTCTACCCATACCCAGTCTGAAGATTTCCTATTATGTCTTGTCCTCTTTCCATGTATTATCATGGAGGACCCATCTCCATTTCCTGGATGTGCCCCTGGGCACAGTGGTCACTCTCATTTGGTGAAATCTGCAAACTTCATGGGAGACCTCTCCAGCAATTTGTCCAGGACACAAATAAACGTGGTAAACAGAACGTGTTCCACAAATATTTGAACTAGCAGTCACCATTGATACTAGTGATGGTGTTAGTACACAATGTTGTTTGCTTTAAAGAGCAAAAGCAAACTCTAAGACCTCAGAGAGACTGTCAGACTTGAGATCTCACAGAGAAAAAAATACTGATGTGCATGAGATGTGAAGTGATTCTGTTTGGGAGACAGTCCATCCACTGAGATTTATTATCCAGCCTAACGACTTCTTACCTTTTGCAGCTCTTGAAATCTATTGATTTCAGTTAGATCTTGATGACTGCCTAACATATCTGATTAAAAGCAAGGTTCTGAATTTTGGCTTTTTTTTCAGCAGTTTCATGTAAGAAGTAATAACTAATTAATGGTATTGTATTTCTTAAAGAGTTCTCCAAACTCCTTTAGCAAATGTATGAATAGAGAAATTAGGGCTCTTACAAGCTAATCATCAAACCTGTAGTAAAGACTGTTTTGATTATGTTATTTATTGACATCCTAAGGGCAATGTCAGCAGTGTATTCTGTGGCACAGACTTCTATAGGAACATTATCAGCCATAAACTGTACCAAGTTCCTACACCGGAGCTCATTGATACTGTTGTTTGAAGGCCTTTAGGGCAAGACATGAGGAAGAGTATTTAACACAGATTTGAATATGCTTTGTCTTGTTTTGCTTTGGTAAACTCAGCACCCGCATCACCAGGCTGTCAGTTTGCTTAGTACACTGGTTGTCTGAGTAATTCTTTTGTTGCTCTTGGTTGAACTTTGCAAATCAGCTAAAAGCTGGGGATGCTGTATAAATCACAAGATGATGTCAGTAAGTTCGACGTTAATGCTTTCCTTTAAGCAAAGTAATATGTTCTGTTTTCAACACTTTAAAATGTTTAACAAGTACAAAAATCTTGTAATATACCGGAAATTATTTAGATGTCGGAACTGTTCAACTGCTCTTCAATGGAAAACCTACTAATACACAGTAGAACTTGTCTTTCTTGAATAAATATCCTCTTCTTATGCAATAACCAAGGTAGCCTGTATCTTGACCAAGGAACACGTGCATAACAAATTCTGTTAAAAATTTTGTACATTGTTACACTTATTTTGGAAGAACATATTGGAAACTTTCCTATTAAACTCTGTCACTTCTAAACAAAGTACTCACACATGCCCAAAGGAATAGCTTTGTCTGTGTCATCCTACAACTCTGTAGAACCAATTTAATTCTATCATGTCTCTATGCAATAAATCTACTCCTGGAAGGATGCATTCCCTCCATTGGTACAGCATAAATTGTGTACCTCTGCACTACAGCTATTGCTACATCTCTGCTCCAAATGGGCTGTCAGACATCCAGAAACCCCAGCATCCAGAAATTATTGAAAAAAAGATGAATATTTCTCAGCATTTGGGAGAGTGAATGAAATTAGAGGTAAGGAAACTTAGATGACATAATACAGCAACCACAGACTGACTGTTACTGCTGTTGGCAGATACCTAACCTGCACATCCACCTTTTAAATATGTTCAGACCATTGTGAGGTAACTTACTAACTTCTAACAGCTGGAGTAAAGTTCTTTATTATAGAATATACAACCTTCATGTCTGGTCTTTGTGCTCTTTTGGTATTGCAAGAAAACAATGTAGTGGATGGACTTGCTAGAGGAAAAGTTACAGTTTACGAAACTGTAAATATATGCCTAAATATTTCCATCAAAGAGTAGCTAGTTCTTACCCTCTATCAATATCGTGGTAATGTAATTAACTGCATGTAGTCTTTATTATTAAAATTATATATTAAATGATTGTCTCTACTTAAAGAATACAGCTTTTAGATGGTCCCACAGAATAAAACAACTAAAGCTTCTTTATTCTCCAGAGGTTGTAAAGACCCATCCTACCTGCAGGAATACACACCACCACACTCCATGTGGAAGAAATACGTAAGTGACTTTTTCAAAAACAAACACTTAAATGCAGCTTCTTAGAAGGCCAAGTATTGCAGTGACTGCCTACCTTGGAGGTCTTGTGTTTTCTCTGTCCTAGTGAGGCTTCTCTGTATGACTTTTTTTTTTTTTTCTGGTAGGCCAGTTTGTGCTGACACTTCAAAGGTTAAACCCCTTTCCTTTCCCTTCCATTACTTAATTTGCTTTTCTATCACTGCATGCTGCACGTGAGAGGTGGAGTTCCCCTTTAACTTCAGAGATCAGCACGATAGGAGGGCAGTGGAAATCAAACAAACCTTCAAGAATGCAAAGGCAGTAAGGCACCCACAAAACTAGCACTTGGATCCAAAACTAGATGGGTGGCCAGCTTTATCCCAGACAGTCCATCAACAACCTAACCACAGGTCAGACCAACCCCAAAGTTGCTCATGCTGTCCTCTGGCATTAACTAAGAAGCCAGATATTTCTACCCAAGGAATTTCCTCCACAGGGATTGCCTTTAAAGAGGGAGGGAGAAGTCAGTCTCCTAAAGAAAATGCACGCGTATGCCACCTAATGAAAGATTTATTAAAAAAAAGTAAATCAAACCTTTCTTGTTGATTGTACACACACAGGGAAATGGGAATTGGACTTCCACCTCATTTCACATCAGCCCGAATTTTCCTAGACTTGAGAAGAAAAAAAATTAATAAAAATAAAATGTTCATAACAATTTGTTTTCTATGTGAATTCACTCAGGTGAGCTTCTGCTAATTCAGTTCCTGTCCATTCAGCTGCCACTATAAGTATCCAAAACATTACTTTTCTAGGCTTGCTTCCTGCAGTTGAAAAACAGTTTGTTGTTCTTAATTTCATATTGCTGGTGTAAGACAGAGGATCCAGGTACTTTTCACGATCAGCGGGCTATATTATGTTTGTTTTGAAAGCACATACAAGCTAGACAAAAAAAAGAACAGCCCCAGTCTCAAAGTTCTTTCAGTCAGACAACAGTGTGCCCATGTTTACTTAATACAAACTTCAGCATCAGTTGTTTGATTAAATCAATTTAGACTTCAAAGACAATTTAGGCATGGAAGACTGTCTTAAACAGGCAACCAAAGGGCAGCTGCTGTAAGTCAGATGGGCAAATGAATCCATTCATCTGTAAACAGGCATGGAAAAGCTCCATGGTCTTCATGGCAAGGTTTGGGTTCAACCCTTCTTTTAGCTTTTCAGCTATTGCCTGACTTCAGGATGCGATTAAAATTGTATTCTAGTAAAAAAAATCCCAAAAGCTCAAACTAAATATATCTTCACTTTTAGCTTTCCTACCTACTTATGCTTCTGTCTCCTAAAGAGAAATGACTAGGTTTATAATAAAAAAAGTGTGATTTCCAACTCTTGATCAAATTTCTTGTTGACAGAACTTTGACTATAAGGCACACATAGGAACTTGGACTATGTGTGGTTTTAAGGAACTAACACAAAAAAAAAAGTGCTAATAACTAATATATTCAATTTTGTGTGTTTAAAATGTGCAGGTAGATTCCTTGGAATGAGCTATCTAGAGCAACACTGAGTAGAAAGAGGTTGATAAAACTACAAGGACTTGTACCAGTAGTTCTGCCCTAAATTCTGCAGAACAGATAAGGGGCAGGAGTATTTCACACTTTTCTGTAATTAGCTTTCAATAAACTGTGCAGGAAAATTTATGATTTACATATGCCTGCATTTTCCAATCACCTAAGCTATGTGTTATGCTGTTGCAGAATATCTTTTCTCCTTACCAACTAGAACAAGGCAGGCATTAACTTTTGCCACAGCACAAAGTGAAATTCTATATAATCCCCATGTTATGTCTCCTGTTCCCTCTAGTTTAATCTGCAACACTGGGAATTTGTTATACAACAAGAAACACATTTTAGGAATTGTCACATTTTGTAATTCTTTTTTGTGTTTGGAGTGTCACAAGCATTGTGGCTCTGGTTCAAGCCAACTGCAGACTGGAAAATGAAATACAATCTAAAAATACCATAAAAATGGAAATTTTTAACGTTAGTATTGTGCAAGGTTTTACATTCTGTAGTGAAGCTAGTTGAACCTGAAAGAGACTGAAAACTGAGGAGCTTTGCGGCTCTTTGTAGTTCCTCTCATCCACCCAGACTGTACCTGTGGGTCCCATTCATTAAAAGGGTCTTTGCAAGGAGACCTTGCTCCATTCCAGGACCTATCAAAAAACCAACAGGAACTTTTGTGACAGGATGGCTCTGTATCAAAGGAAAGGACTCAGGCATTAGTGGCACCATAGAGGATGAGGGCAAGACTGGCTCAGTAGATAAAGGCGACGGTTTAAAATTCGGACAATCTGGGTTGTAGTTTCTCTCCTGCTGCTGGTTTCTGGTGAAGCCCTGGGCATATCTCTTACTCTGTGTTGCAGGTGGTTGACCACGTAATGAGGAGAACAGCCCTGAAGAGAGCGAGGACAAGGATATTTGCAAAAGAAAAGGAAGGAAGGAAGAAAGAATGTGTGGGATAAGTCTATCTTGCATTAGATAACACCAGGGAGGGTTGATATGATCGTTGCTTTGGTTCTACACAGATACATCAGGAAAATAAGGCAGCTCCTTTTCAGGACATCCATCAGCTTCTGAGGAGCTAAAACCTGGCAGGATACACTGTGCAATTAGTGATTGGAGCCTGTGTTCCTGTGTCATGTATGCGAAGTGGGAGAACCAATGGGACCATCTCTCCCTCTCCTTTCAATTATGTAAAATGCTGTAATTTACACAGGTTGTATGTCAGGGCTGAATAGGGGAATAGAAAGTTTGCAAATATGCATTAACAAATAATCATGCTGCCAAAATAATTTGTATTTGTAACATATCTAATGCTCTTAAGCATTGCTGCGGGTGAACCTGAAAGACAGAAGTAGTATTTTTATGCTAATATGCTATAAAATGTCTCAGCAAAATAAGCAAGTCCCTCTGCAGTGGGTGTTTATTTTCCTTGACATGATTTAGAAGATTCTCATGTGACAATCTTTTGTGTTGTATTTGTAAAATGATCTCTATGAGAATAGCACACTATTATAATACATTACAATCTCTGGTTGCTTGAGCAGCAGAAAGCTACTAATACAGTGCTTTACAATAGAGCACTTATACAGTTTAAAGTGCAGCTTTCATGTACAGTATTTTAAAGAACTGCTACAAACCATGTTTGCAGTGCTTTTTGGAAAGCAGGGTAATATCAAGGAGAAAGCTCCTTACTAGTGAGCTCCCTGTCACCGAACGACCATGTTGCTGTTCCAGTAAATCCAGGTGGGAACATTTTCAAGGAAATGTCGAATATTTCTCCTTTTACCCAGAAACAGCATAGCTATTTTTAGGGATATTTTCCATTGGCCTGCAGCACATTTCAGTTGCCTGTAGCATGATGGAGAGTGGCATATTGTATGTTACACTGAATTGAGAAAATGACTATGTTGCATCATGTCTGTACTTGGCACTGAAGGATGCTGAGATGTTCATATTTCCTCATACTTGTGCCAATTTGTATGCAACACAGTTCTATCACAAATAAAATGTAGGGTATTGGATCCATCCTGCTCTCGTTTAATCTTGTGACACTTCGATAGCATTTGACTTCTTTGTGAGAGACTGGAATCAGTACCACTGTGCCTCAGTCCGAGTCTGCTTATGGTCCTTAAATGTAAGATATTTTTGGTACTGTGCAAAGAGCTGCTATTGTAGCAAATACTTTATAGGTTGTATCTATGTTGAAATGTGAGGTTCAAAAATATACATGCCCCCAAATTATCCAGCATTTTCAGGTCACTTCCTAATTAAAACCCCTTGAGTGGAAATCATCAGGTATGCACCCCAAGATACTCATCAGACTCTCAGGGGAAACAGGCTGCCTGGTGGGGAGATACAGTTCCATGTTCAGGAGGTGCCTTTGCCCTAAAAATCATCACAACTGTGTGAGGAGATCTGCACTGATTTCCCTTCATCCCCACCCTCTCTCCTGGGACATGATCAGATTCTGTTGCCTCTATTCAACTTGAGAGTAGCATGTACTCTCACGTAGATAAGCTGCATGGCTTATCTACAGATAAGCTGCATGGCTAAGCCAAAATGGGGGCCAGAGAATCTGCTGCAAAATTTCTTGTTGCTGTTTTCCTCCTCAAATCTTGTATAAACTTGATGGCAAAAAAAAAAAAAGCTCTTAGGCATTCTGTTTTAATCTATAAAACTCACATAACTAGTGTAACTTTAAGTCAACTTTATATCACTGATCGAAATGGAGACAATTAAACAACTGTCTTTGGAGATACAGAAATTGCAGTGATTTTCCAGATCTGGTGTGTGAGCAGGAAGACTGCACTTAGCAGTAACTTATCTTGCACTGCTTAATGCAAGCCACCCAACTCAGTTTGCACAGGGATTGCATTACCCTTAATCCTAAAGATTGACATTGACAAACATCAGGAGATAATTTTGTAATTCTGTCATTAGAAAAAGGAGATTTTAGTTTTCAAGTCTGCAATTGTTTTGACCTCTAGGTACGTGCATCTTTATTCCCTCAGAAAATGGCACATCTTTTATGTGCAGATCTCAGCAATAACCAAGAAAAGACTTTCTAATTTAAATTGGAAAGATCAGCTCCAGTCTGTTTGGCAAGTTGAATGACATATTAAAGTCACTTTTGATTTAGTCATTTTAGGAGATCTGTTCCAATCACAGTTGTTTTCTTTAGCTCTTGAAAATGAGTTGAGGATGCACTTTGGTTTTGTACCTCATTTATCTAAAATAGCAAATAAAAATATTTCCAAAAATTCTTCTAAACTATTTTTCAAGGGATTTTTTTAATATTAAATGAATGAGTTAATTTAGGCAGTTGAAAGACAATGTTTTAAATGCCTCTAAGAAATAACTGTTTTAGGAAAAACTGGGGCCCTGTCCACAGAAAGTTCAATGAATAGCAGTGAGGACTTTTCCAACAACATCAGGTTAGGATTAGAGTCAGGATGAAATATCAGTGTATTGATATTTAATTCTCTAGTCTCAACTGGTGGTGAATCAAGTAGCAACTCATTAGGAGTCATCTTTTACTCCATGGAGCGAAGCTGCGATTGGTATTTTGTGCCCTCACAGTTCCCATCACTGCCTGATGTGTAATCTAATGTTGTGCATGTCTTTAAAAATTGAAGACACAAGCCACATTTTTCTTTTTGTTTTGTATCTCTTCAAATGCAGCCTGTAACATGCAGTGTTATCTCTGCTCATGACTATCACACTTAATTACACTTCATGTGTCGAATTTGGGATGTGAATGTCACTCAAGTGTTTCTTGCACACTTTATGATAGATATTTAATCCAGCAAACCTAAAGAAAACAGATCATTTAATTTTCTAATCAGTTTACCAGATACAGGCTCTGAGGCTTGGAAATATTTTGAGCATTTTCTATGTTTTTTAATGAAGTGTTACTACAGTGAGAGGTGGATGTTACAGCCCAGCTGTTGCCATACACAGCAGAGGCTGCTGTGCTCTGTGCTGGCTCTCGGTGAAGCTCCAGGTCTCCAGCCAAGGCTGTCTGGCAGCGAGCTGGAGACTGTGATGGTTTTCCCTTTTTTTGTACTATTTTTTTTTTATTTCTTACCCCCCAGTGGATAGACACTTCAACAATTTCAGAGTTAAAGTTTCAATATTGCTAGAGGATGAAAAAAAGGAGAATGGATGCTTTGTCCTTCAGTCTTTGCAAATGTGTAGGCTGCGGGTTTGTGTCTCCCAGGAACATCACGAGTAAAGGGGACCTGCTGGAGTCTGTCTCCATCAGGGTGTGTTTGCTTCTCCACCATCCTAACCCTTCTGCTGTTACCTCCTCTCTGCAAATTAATCTTCTCAACTGATGATATTCTGTGGAGACACAAGATTTATGTGTTCCCTGAAAGATGCAGACCAAGTTTTTCCTTTCAGTGTGGAGCATCTGAAATTATGGGGAGCATGCTAGCAACATTAAAACAAATGTGCATCAGATCCCCAGGGGACTCGGATGCCATGTGTGCAATGTTTCCTCCAAACAACTGAGAACCAGCATCGTTGTTCTTCAAGAGAGTTTCTGAAGCAAAGGAAACAATAGGACGTGTCCATAATTCCTAGCTTGTGAGCACATGGAGCTGTAGTACTCAGACTTTATGTCTGAATGGTATCTGACATGGATAGATGAAACCAGTATACTGGGATTTTCACTTTCGAGATAATTCTTGTAAATGGAAGATCATACATTTTTCCTGATAAAAAGACATGTATATATATGTTGTTTGTTTATTTGTTTATTTTTTTCCTCCCAATAATGAAATTAATGTTAGAAGAACTCTTTGTGACTACAGAAACTTGAAAGTAAAATAAATGCTGTATAGATCATGGCCACATACATGTATTATTTTTTTTAGGAGCAAGGTATGTAGGTATTTTTAAAGAGCTGCTACTATCTGAAGTGCAAACAGAAAAGGGTCTGTAGGATGTTAGCATCCCAAGGCCTCTTAGACCTGAAGTCAGCTAGTAGGCAACATCAGAGATCAGAAATTGATTTTGTTTGAAAGGAATTATTTCAAAGTGATTGGATAAAACAGAGAGGTGTGTTATAAAATGGATGAGGAAAATATTTGTTAGCCTGGGAGAGAAGATATACCTATTGTTTGAGTAGCCATGGCTCAATACGTCATGCTTTGCCCCTATTACGGTCATATGCATTTAAAGTCAGGCAAAAGATGTGCAGCAGAAAAAAAAAAAAGAGAGAGAGAAAAAAGAAAAAAAAGACATGTAAGTGGAAAGAAGGAAGCCTGTATTCCCCAGGACATTGACTCATTTACATGATTAGGAGTCAGAGCTCATATATATTTATACTTAAATCAAGGCACGGTGAAACAACCTAAACAACCTATAGCTGACTTGGAAAGATGGAATCTGTGGTGCTAAGCTTCCTTGGGAGGTGCTGAGCACTTTTGGCTTTTAGCAACACTTCTAGGAACTTCTAGGAACTGAGCATGCCCTGTGGCTCATCCACATTGAACCCTAAGAGTTAGGGAAATTTTCCAGCCTTTCCTAACTTTATCCCTGCTTCCCCCACAGTCCTGTTCATGCATCACAGCCCCTCAGTGAGGGTTAACCACACAAGATGTTGTTCAGTTGTCCGAGGAGTTGGATGTTTTAGAGTCTGGAGCCCTTTATAGCTTCCACATCCTGAGGAGATGCTGTCACACTGTTCATAGTCCCTTATGATACCACTGTAAGAGTGTAAAGAAGGGAAATAAACTTCTCCAGCACTTGGATTTAAACTTGGAATTTTTAACTCGCCCAATGTTTCCTCCCCTTTGCACCTCATAGTACCTCTGAAACAGGTGTTGGTTTGACCCTACTTTGTAAAAATTACTGTCTGACAGTAGTGGACAACTTCTTAAATAGAACAAAATTATCACAGTAATTTTTGGGAGATCTTATTTTCTTTTTGTACATATTTCTTTAATTTATTTTTAACAGGATGAATACTGGGAATCCTTATAGTTCTTCTGAAGATTAAATTCTACCCTGGGAAGTTCATAGCTCAGTCAATATTTGGTCTTTCGAAGCTGTGTTAAATGGATTAATTATTAATTACTAAATTTTTTTATTAAAACTGTAATTTTATCTTCCCTAAGAAGCCTAGATATTGGTACAGGAGTCC